GATAAGAGTTCTGCATTTTTGGGAAGCTGTAAAGTTTGTCGATGGTATCAGCAGACGATCACTTATTCATTGATGGCAACAATGGGTTTTAAGGTAATATTTACAGAGGTAACATTGAAGTGCTCCTTTAAAAATTCGTGTGTGCAAACACTTTTACACATAGTGAGAGCATGAGGAGCACAGAAGAAAGTGGCTATTTTAAAACGCTTATGTACATGAACGAAAATCGAACGAATTAATTCATGCAAAATCTATTGATGCATTTGTTGCATTACTCTAATTTAATCAGGTAGTATCGCTTGATCTTGAGCCTGAAGCAAACGGAGATGGATAATGCCTCACTGGACGATTGTTTTGCCTTGGAAGAGTTATTAGTATCGCAAAGTCCATTCCTGTGTCACCGCTCGGGTTTCGATCAAGCTTGTAGCGGACTCAACAGTCGAGACCAGTGTATAGGAGCTTTGGAGTGGCCAGCAGCGTATCATAATCCATTAGCACATTTGTTCTGGGGTGTTAATGGCCATCCCATCCTAATCCATCTCGCCCACAGTTTAGTGGTCGAGAGGGAGAAGAGCGGAGGTAAGGCGGTAGTGAGATGGGGAAGGCGAAACAGTGAGAGCAGTTTCCCAAATCTTAATGCCACGTGTCGACGCAACAGATATTGTGGTGAGATAGGAGCATAGAGCAGGAGGAGAGGGTGGGGTAAAGAGTACTCTGTCCACACAAAGAGACTGGCGTAAGTGCTACGGCCTCTCCCGGAATGGGATGAGATACTTATCTTGATGTCCGCCCAAGTGGTTTAGCGTTGATTATGTCCTGCGTACCCACCCGCCTACTTAAGGTATGGTGTAAGGAAATGTGCTTGAATCAGAGCCAATGGGTTCATTCACTTTGTTAACGGCTCAATTCAACCGGATTAGGGAACACACCTTGTATTTAACTATGCTGGGCAATATGCATGTCAGGGCCATGCTTCGACCAAATCACTTCACATTCTCACTTAGAGATGCTGTAGCCATTAACTACATGCATTCTCCTCTGTGCCTACCGCAGACAATTTGGGTAAGCCTACAGAAATCAACTATGAGGTTAACATTTAGAATGTTCTTTCTTCGCGCTGTTCTCC